TGCAAACTTTCGTAAAACATTCCTAAGTTTGACCAATTATGTATTCTTTTTCTCAATCAAACGAGACCGAGAAAGAGGATGACTCAAGCGGCCTTACAAATTTTTACGGAAGTTTGCATGATACGGTCATTTGACTAATGAAGAGTAGTATGAAGAAGATTTGTAATTATGTTTGAATAATAATTAATTAATCAATTTTCAAAAATGTTTAACTACATTCAAATTTTTAAATAAAAAAATTAAAAAATCGATATACACTACTGAATTTCATAAAAATTAGACAATTATTATAGAAAATTGTTCGCTACTTTGGATCCGCCATTTTGAATTGTGCAATTCTGACATCGATCGAAATCAACGATCCGAAAAACCGTACATGACCATAATTTTTCATAATTTTATCAAAATTCTGGAGTAAATGGATTTTTGATTACTTATTCGAGTCTCTTGGCCTACTGTGTAGTAGTGGGAAAATAAATATATATCTTTAGTAATGAGCAAAAGTGGCAAAAAGTGGCAACTTGTTCTCGTCAACCATATTCATATGAACAAAACAGTATAAAAAAAATTAATTCCGAGGCCGCACGGGTCGGCACGATGGATTTGTGTGAAGTCATAATCTATTTAAATCAGAAATATTCGCGTAAATAGCTCTGCCACAGAAAGTAGTGTTAATATTTAGAGTAAATAAATGTATAGCATTATTATTTGTCCATTTTTAAAACAAATACGATTTTTAAACATTTAATTTATAAAGTTTATATTCATAGTTTTAATGTTTTTTATTTTAAAGATAGGTCTGAAATTATCACCTGTATTTTGTAATCAAGCGGCTATTCCTCGAAACTTGTTACCAAAACTTATTATAAAGTTCATTTATATGTTTTTTGAGATATTCTTATGACATATGAAATATTGTTTACAGTAAATTTTAAACTCGACTTTTGGCCAGTTTTTCGGGTCGTCTGACCCACTGTGCATTGCAAGGAATTTATTGCGTTAAAAATATTATCCTAGGATTCCTGATTGATTCAACCTAAAACTTGTGATATATATTATTACTTCAACTTCACAATTTGTAATTACATTTCAAATTATCTGACAGTGATTGGCATACATGGCAGTTTATATAACTGAAAGATGCATTTAAAAAATTTACATATAATATTTACATAAAATAATTATATTTGCATATAATAATATTTACATAAAATATTAGACACTAATAAGATCTAGCTTCGACCGTATTTAGCCCTTCTTTATTTATTTAATAAATCTGATTGAATTTATAAAATTTATTTCAGTCAAAGCACAAGGTGATATCTGTAAATACTTTCGACATAAATGGCGATAGTGTATTAGAGCTGATCACTGGTTGGAATAGTGGAAAAGTAGATGCGAGAACGTATAATACTGGTGAGGTCATATTCAAGATTCAACTGTCATCCGGCGTAGCAGGCATAGTAGAAGCTGATTATCGAAGAACGGGTAAACCTGATCTGGTGGTAGTTTCTACCAATGGCGAAGGTATAAACTTGGAACTCGTTTTCTCTGCTAAATAATATGATTCTTGCTGCAATATTTTTATTTAGCTCTCACGTTTTTTATAGTACGCGGATACAGCGCTGGCTCTGCCATGCAAGCTCCGGAACCCGGCGAGATAATTCGTGAACTATTAGCCAAGAAGCAGGCACTTCAGATGGAATTACGACAGAGGGCTGCGACGGGTTCTAGTATGTATTATGGATCGAGATTAGCCATTAGCCTGTTAACAAAGAGGGGCGCAGCTCGCGTCGCGCTTGCAGCTGGTCCCGGACTTCTGGTAATATATAATGCTATACATATATGTACAGGACACATCTCTGAATTTCAACCAATATAATATCAATGTTAAATTGTAATTGCACGCTCAACAATATAAATATAATATGACACATATTGTACGTAATAGTTACATTGTTAAATGTGAAATTATTGATGTTAGATTATTGTTAATTAATTGATATTTACTACTGGAAACTCGAGTCCCTTTGTATCACAGATTCTTTGATTTTTTCAGTTTTCAAACGAAAATTTTCCTTAAAAATAAGATATCCGTTAATTAAATTTGCGATGATATTGTAAATGTAAAATAATATTTAGGTATATTG